CAGCCCAAACTGGACCTATTCTGTTGATAACAAAATGTCAAGTTACCTTTTAGGTATAACGGCCAAAAACTGCACTCATATAGCCCAAGTATGCACAATAGAAAAAGATTTTACGTCTAACAACACCCAAAACAATTCCTGCCCTCAGAACCAAGAAGACCAGGACTCTCAGAAGCAAGGGGTCCGTTTGCCTAGAAGATCTGGGGACCATGTCTTCCTCAACATACTGTAAGTGGTCAAATTTGAAGCCCGCCAGGCTCACCTTGCCAAGCCAACATTCCAGAGTCCTTTCCCTTTGCCCTCTGATCTGTAAAATGTATCCCATACCCCAAATTTTGGAGATAAATTTGTGCCCAACTCCTGTCTGTCTTGATGGCCAATTTTGCAATAAAACCTTTCTTTTCTCTCAAGCCAGTGCCAGTTATTGGCTTCTGTGTATACTGGGCAGTGAGCCCATTTGCTCGATGACACTATAGTACATCATGCCTCTTGCTAAATATGTTTCAACAGTGCCCTTATCTCCAAGAATGAGTCCATACTCCTTGATTTCAGACTCACATCAAAGACATCTTGAAGCAGTTTGGCCTTTCCCCATCTGTCTTACTAGCCTGACTCTCCTTGGTCCTCTATATAGATAAATCGTCACAGCCAGGTAGATTTATTGTGTCACTCGGCAATCCATGCTTACCTTCAAAGGAAATGCTTGCTTGCTCTCCTCCTCTTAGTCAATAGCTAAAACCTACTTCGGGGTCCCAACTTCTGAACTTAATTATGTCAACCTCCCCAACTGTTCTTCAGTTCTATTGTACGTCCTTTTCCTTTGAATTTGGATTATATAACTACCATGACACTGCTTGTATTAGTCTGCAAGCTCTACTAATAAGCTAGGCTCTAGCTTATTCGCTCAACTGACCAGTAGAACACAGGACCCCACCTAAAGTCAGAGCGTAGTTTCAATAGAGTGTTTGAGGTGGCAAAAAAAAAAGCGGGGGAAAAAAATATGGATAGCTTGTGAACAGAAGGAGCAAATGGAACTGGAGGAGCAGAAGAGTTTTCAACTTCAATGAGAAGGTACAAGGTTGAGATCCAAGGAAAGGAACACGATTATCTTCTTCCCCCAGGATTTAAGCTTTATAAAGAGATGCCATATCTCCCAGCCCTGAGATAGTGGCAGATGAGCAAGGAGTCTAAAGAAATGCCGGGTAGCCCACAGCAGGTCTGAGCTGCAAAGAGTTATTGTCAGCTGTGCAGCTGCTGAGGAGAGATGATGAAAATGAAGATTCGCTGAGTCACTTCTGCTGACAATCCCTGTGGTGCTCTGTGGAAGGTACGAGGCTGTCCCCTAAAGTATCAATACGCGTAAGATTCATATCAACCACTACAAAAACACCTCATGTTTCCATCTTTGGATAATAGACTGATTCTGTGTTTACATATGAGGACACAATAAATACAGCATTTCATAGATTATGTAGAGCTAGACAGACACTGCCTTAGAAGTCAGTGAATCCAGCCGGCTCATTTCACAATTAAGGAAAGTGATGACAAGATAGGAAGTGGTTAGCATAAAGTCTCACAGCAAGGACTGGAATGGAAGTCTCTGGATTTCCAGCTCCCTCAACACTGCCTGCCTTTCTCTTGTGACTTTTTTCTGTTTGCCATAAGTGCTAAGTGTATTAATTTGTTGCATCAGCCATTCAACAAACTTTAAGGACCTTTAATGTAAGACACTTGTTTAAGGTAACAAGAAAAGACATAGTCCCTGCCTTCCTAAGACCTCAGTCCAGAGGAAAATGTGGGCAAGATTTATCTCTGCAGCACAGGAAATTAAAAAAAAAGAAAATCAACTTTTATTTGTATATATTTTTATCATTTAATTTTTGTTTCATAATGTATATAATTCAGTATGATTTGTCAAGAAATAAATATTTCCAGCCTGGCCAACATGGTGAAATTCATCTCTACTAAAAATACAAAAATTAGCCAGGCATGGTGGTACATATCTGTAATCCCAGCTGCTTGGGAGGCTGAGGCAGGAAATCACTTGAACCTGGGAGACAGAGGTTGCAGTGAGCTGAGATTGCATCTCTCCTCTCCAGTCTGGGCAACAGAGTGAGACTGTATCAAAAAACAGAATATTGTTGGAGGGGTGTGTCCAAAATTTTTTCTGATGGGGTGTTCAAGGTTTGAATTCTACTGGCATAGGTAAGTGCCGTCCTGAGCAAGTTAAAGATGGCTTTTCCCCCAAGAACTTTCCATTTAAAATGACTACTCTCCTGGCTATACCAGCCAGCTTCAGTTATTTCTGTTGTACAGTTGAGTAAGGTACAGGTCAGTGGCCTGTTAGGAACCAGGCTACACAGCAGGAGGTGAGCCGCTGGAGAGTGAGCATTACTACCTGAGCTCCACCTCCTGTGAGATCAGCAGCAGCACTGAATTCTCACGGGAGCAAGAACCCTATTGTGAGCTACGCATGTGAGGGATCTAGGTTTTGCACTCATGAGAATCTAATACCTAATCTGAGGTGGAACTGTTTCATCCCAATATCATCCTCCTAACTCCACCCCATCTGTAGAAACATTGTGTTCCATGAAATTGATCCCTGGTGCCAGAAAAGGTTGGGGACCGCTGGGTAAGAGCATCTAGATGTGTTGAAAGAGGCTTGGCCTGAGGCAGGCGACTCTCCACACAGATCTGAGAATCTTTTGTTACTAGCGGATGAAGTTTTAAGAACGAGAGCTCACAGCCTTTGTCCTAGATCAGAAAAGACTGAAGAAGTGCACCAAAACTTGATTTCATTATAAGAGCGCTTTGAGGTTATAGCCCAAGTCTAGACAGTGAAATGTGCAGAAAAGTAGAGGCTTCTCTGTTCATTCCTTTATGAGCTTTAGTGCTACATGAGAACTAGGGAGTGAGACTCTTCCATCACACATCATGCAGGGTTATCAATACTCTGAATTTGCTTGATTGTGCCCAAGGCTTCTACTGAGCATAAACCCAGCTGATTTTAGAGTGGAGACAGACAGAATTGTCCCCTCAATTTCTACCCACCTCCACTCCGGCCCACTTCAAATTTGCAAGTGACATGAAAGCAAAGGACTTCCATCATCAACACAGACTAGATGACCCTAGCCCTTCTAGTTTGGATTACTTCCTGATGCTTTCCTGCCGAGGTTTCAAGCTGTTGCCTGAGAGTAATCCTGCTCTAGTGCTACAATCCTGGGAAGCTACAGTTCAAAGGAGTCAAACTTCATAGGGCAGGTGGGGTGAGGATGGGGAGCGGACAGTGATACATGAATGCAAACCTCTAACGGGAACTACATCTCCCCCCTTCTTCTTTGGCCCTTTGCAGGAGAATGCAGGGAACAAGGAGGAGGGTGAAGGGACTAGGTGGTGGTAAGTGTCTCTCTCTGGGGCAGTCACTCCACAGGTTGAAGAGGTGGAGAAGACCTTCGGTGTTGTTCTGGGGCAGGAGGCGGGCGTGTGAGGAGCACTAAATCCAAATAACATTTTTCTAGTCAGTTATTACATCTCTCTTGGGTTAATTCCAATTAAATTTTTGTTAGCCAACACTTGGTCTCTCCCTGGTGTTTTCCAACCTTCTACTTCTGAATAAACCCAATTTTGAAATACCATTCATTCACAGCCCCACCAGGCACCTCATACTGAAATTCCAACCTATCAGAGCAGCAGCAGCACCTGTTAACTCCCGAAGTTCTAGCCCCACCCCAGAGCAAGGGAATCAGAAATTGCTGGGTCAGGGTCCACCAGTCTGTTTAGGCAGGTCCTCTGCGTGGATGCACACTCATTTTAGAGCTACAGTATTGAAGCCATCTTTTGCATTCTGCCTCCTAACTCCAGCTGTCAGTGTGAGGCTCTTTTGGCTTTAGGGAGCAGGTGTGAGAAAACACATCCTGATGCACGAGTGCCCGCACCTCCCTCCGTAGCTCTCAAACTTGCTCAGGATGGGAAACAATGGCTGGGATGGGGGTAGAAGGGCTGTGTCGCAAGCACACCAAAATGAAAAAACTCACCCGTTAACCTTTAAACACATAATTGTAAATTAAATCATCTGCCATCTTTTCTCAGCTTCCAGTGTAGAGGTATGGCTTGAACCTGGGAGGTGAAGGTTGTAGTAAGCTGAGACCACACCACTGCACTCCAGCCTGGGCAAAAACAGCAAGACTCCGTCTCAAAAATAAATTCAAGGTGTTTCCAGCACGGGAGCATACTTTGAGAAACACTGGTCTTGAAAAACATCTCCACAATGAACATAATGCTCAGGAGATGAGTATTGATGTGTTTTGCTCTTCTTTGCCCTCTTCTGAGCTCAGATCCTTCAGTGTGAGATGCGCCCATTGGATTTAATCCTGTATCATCTCCTGAAATGAAACATCCTGTCCTGCCACATGTATCTTCATTGCTCAGCAAATCACCCAGGCCAGAAGCAGGCTTGAAGATCTTTAATTCTCTCTGTCCAGCCTGTTGCACCCTGGAGAGCACTGAGCATGCAGGTGATCACAGGTCATTTCCGAGAAAAATTCAAACTGATTCTCTAATATCCGGGCCTTGGTTCTTTCTTAGTGGCTCATACATACTTTTACCTCTAACTACAGTAATTTCATATAAATGTAAGTCAGCTCTCCTAAAGAGGCCATCCTCAGCTGCACTAAGCTGTACCTCTACAGTTCAGCTCACACTGCTTAAATGCTTGCAATGGCCATTTGGTTGTGGCTGCTCCTCTTCCCCTTCACTAGCCCTCCCACTCTCGCTATCCAAAAGATGTCCAGTTGAGACGATAAATCTGAACTAATCAAACCCTCTAAGAAAGCTCATTTTAATGCAATAGAATACTGCTGTCAATGTTGTAGAGTTTGAGAATAGATGGTCATGTGACTCCTAGCATGAATTACAGGTTACTACTATGACCAGACTTTACAAGCTTCCAAACCTCAGGGCTAGGGTTAATCCAAAGAAAAAAAAGTTACTGCTTACACTTATTGGTATTAACTTCCTTTTCATCATTTACTGGAACTAGAAAAAAGTATTCTATAACAAAATGTATACAATTTAGTAATTGTACAAAACATTAATTTAGCAAGATGGTATTAATTACAGCGAACACTTTTCACTGCCACTTCCATGAAAAACTAAGAAAGTCACTGGCTAAAAAGTCACAACAAAAGCAAGTTAAGCTTTACGTACAACAGAAAAGGTAAATCTTCCACAATAATACTGCAGACACGATCACTAAGAGGCTCTCCATGCTGCCGTGGTTTACGGGAATGTTTTTCAGAGTCCATCTTCTACAAGAGACATCAGCTTTCCAAGACCAACACTTGAAGCATTAGAGGTAATACAAAATAAGGAGTTCTTTATTATTTATACAAAACTTGTACATTAAAAAAAGATTAAGACTCAGTAACTCTGCTGACCCCCTGAGGAAGCTAAGAGCATTCATGGGTCCATCAAAGAGCCCTGTGTGAATGTTTCAGTCACCAACCTCCTGGCCACAGGAACTAGGCACAGTTCTAGGGCCATTCACGTGGCTCCTTCACTGGCTCTGCAAGATGACTTCCCCTTTCATTAGGCTCAGCAAGCAAGCCAGGGTTTTCTGGACAAAATTAAAGAACATTATCATTTCTGGCCCAAGCTAGAGCATTTTATCAGTACACAAGTTGATTTTTATTTCTTGAATACCTTCAATAAACTAGCATAAGAAGCTTATTACAACATATACAGATTTGATACAGTTTACAAAAAAAAAAAAACCCTAGATTTTTCACCTAAATAAAAATGTCTTTTAAGCAATTAAAGTTGGCTTAAATAAATGCTGTTTTTCTTTCAAAACTGGGTTTCTACACTGAGTTCTGAGGTCCCAGTCTTGCTTGTACTTGACAGTCACCCTCATCTAAGCAACATTAAGAGCTCTGACATCTTTAGTAAAGAATACAAAATCCTGTGTTTCTTAAAGCCTAATGCTGAAAGACATGTTACAGCCAATCTAGACAAACATTTATATTTAAACAAAAGGCCTCTCTGAACAAATAGCCTGCGGAGATAAATGCAGTGATTTGTTTTCCTGATAGAACTATTTAGCACTGTTGAGCACATTATTCTGTAGTTTGGGAATAAGAGTGTTTCTTCCCTTGAAGAAAACAGGTCCCCTTCTGAAGAATAATGCTGATTACCCCCAAAATCAAAATAGACCAGCACCAAATGAAGTATTAATTTACAAATATGAACTTAGCTCTTATTTCTGGAAGTTCTACATCCCAGACTTAATAAATTAACTATAAAATCAGGAGTTTCATCAGCTACAGTATAATTTAAAAATTCATTTTCAACCAGCAGGGGTGAGGGAGAAGGCCAATCGCACACTGATCGCCATGAACTTCAACTTTCATCAAAACTTTTTTCCCAGCTTGTATTTGCCTTCAGAGATGAGGTGTAGGTTACCATCTTTGATGCTTTAACGTACAATATTCATGTTGAAATCCTTCCAAAGAGCATAGCAGGCAGCACTAAACTGTGTTCAGATCTGATGAGTCTGTATGGAAAGAACCTGACTTCTCTGAAACAGCCAAAAACCAAGTGGTTGTCTCACTGATCACATCTGCTCATCCTCAACAAGACACCGCACTCAGCTTTTTTAATTCACAGACTTTACGTTAGTCCTTTAGAACCCAATGCCCATGTTTCGGTTCAGAACTGTTAGGCTATTCAAGCTGTCTTCTTGGTGCAAGTTCCTTGGAGGTCTTGTAAATTGATTTTTGACCTATGGTAGAAAATAATGAATATATAAAATATCAGGATGCAGAATTTTAACTTGGGACTACAGTATCTGAGTAATAAATTTTTATACTGCATCTGTTTTGAAGTATAGGGAAAACATGTTAAATATATCTTTGAGTCTTACCTGTTGTGAATCATGTGACTTTTGACAAGATGTCCTGCTGCCAATGCTGCCATAAGTGACAATTCCCCAGCCATTACGGTCCCACACACAATTCGGGCAAGCTGGCGGGCATTTTCCCCAGGATTATCTTGGCATGCTCCTTGAACACCTAGCATCTGTAGCCAGAGAGAGACACAGCAAGAGTCACCCTTAAAATCATGAACAATTTCTTACCAAATCAACTAAAAACAGGGTAACTATACTGGCATTGGAATAGAACTAGGCTCCACTTGAAGTACTACCTTTCCAAGACTCGACAGCCAGGACTGACAGTGTGTAATACCACAGCCAGCATCGTATTCACAGCCTGACTGGCAGTACCCTTAGCTCAGTAGGTGAACATTCATTTGCTCTCTTCATCTACTTTCTTACCTAAGCATATGCTTAAAACATGTTTATCTGGGCCGGGCGCAGTGGCTCAAGCCTGTAATCCCAGCACTTTGGGAGGCCGAGGCGGGTGGATCACAAGGTTGAGAGATCGAGACCATCCTGGTCAACATGGTGAAACCCCGTCTCTACTAAAAGTGCAAAAAAATTAGCTGGGCATGGTGGCACGTGCCTGTAATCCCAGCTACTCAGGAGGCTGAGGCAGGAGAATTGCCTGACCCCAGGAGGCGGAGGTTGCGGTGAGCCGAGATCGCGCCATTGCACTCCAGCCTGGGTAACAAGGGCGAAACTCCGTCTCAAAAAAAAACAAAAACAAAAACAAAACAAAACAAAAAAAAACATGTTTATCTGGACACAATGGATTAGGCTGGTATGAGACAAAAGAGTTTTGAAAAGACCAATTAAAATACAGAGGTAAGTGATACATAGTCCCAGACAGAGAGTCAGAACTGGGCTTGCGGACTCTATGCCAGGTACATCATACCTGCAAACAGGCTTGCTGAGGTAGAAGGTTAGTCCCACCACCCACTGTTCCTATCTCTATAGATGGCATGGTGCAGCTGATATATAAATCTTCATTTGTGGGACCACTTGCTTCCATTAAAGTAATACAATTTGAACTACCAACATTCTGTGCTGCATCCTGAAAAAAAGGAAAGAAAAATATACAATATACTTCTTTCATTTAGAAAAACATAATAGAAGAGAAGTGGAGGCTGGAGAGCTCACCTGCCCACAGGCAATGTAGATGGCAGTGACAATGTTTGCTGCATGGGCGTTGTAGCCTCCTATGCTCCCAGCCATGGCAGAGCCCACTAAATTCTTGTTAATGTTGACCTCAATCATAGCCTCTGTGGTAGTCTTTAATACCTAGAAAACAGAGCTGTGTACATTAGATGTTCCTCCAGAAGGCTCAGGGAAATGTTACCCAAATCTATCTTTCTGCATCTCCAGAAAACAAAGGAGTTTAGATGTGGCCCCATTTAAGCCCTGCCCTCCAAAAAAAAAAAAAAAATTCCAAAAAAAAACAATCAGTAAAGTTTTTTCCTATGGATGCCACACACAAACAGATGGGCAAGGCACAACAAATGGAAAACACCGTCCCATATATTTAACTGTATTTAAAATGTTAATACTCCTCTCCCCCATTTTTTTTTTTTTTGAGACGGAGTTTCGCTCTTGAGCCACCGCGCCCGGCCTCTCCCCCATTTTTAAATACAATTAAAGATTACAAAATAAAAAGATAAAATATCCATCCAATCACTCACTTCTCTGACAACCTTGGCTGGAATGACAGCTTCACAAACAACAGATTTTCCTCTTCCCTCTATCCAATTTATAGCAGCAGGTTTCTTGTCAGTACAATAGTTACCACTAACAGCTAGAATCTGCATTTCAGGGAAATACTCATGAAGTTTTGAAAGTGCTTTCTCTGTACCCTATTAACAAAAACCCAAAACATACACACATGAAAATGCATGAGTATTTATCCTTATAAGATGAGAATAATTTATTTGTATCTCTATTTCTAAGTATAATAACTATACTTCAAAGAAACTGAGCACAAAAGTAACAGGTGTTTTATTCACCATCACAATTACAAATTTCTTGGTCAGGTATAGATTCCTAATGTGTTTCTCTCTAGGTATGAAAACCAAGTTCTTTGAGGTCATTGCTAATAGGATGTAGATAAAAATGATAATGTTAAAAATACTTTGTGAAAACAAAGTCGTAGGGCCTTGTAATACATAAAATACAAATAAGCCTTCCAATGACTTTCAATTAAATAGAATTAATTCAATTAACTCATACACCAACAAACCAAAACATATTTGTTGGCAATTTAAAAAATTTTTTATTGTGGTAAGACACATAAAATTTACCATCCTACCCATTTTTAGGTGTACAGTGGTAATTATATTCACACTGCCATGTAACTAATCCTCAGAACTCTTTTAAGTTCTGGGATACATGTACAGAAACTGCAGTTTGTTACATAGGTATACATGTGCCATGGTGGTTTGCTGCACCTATCAACCTGTCATAGGTTTTTTTTTTTTTTTTTTGAGACAGAGTTTTGCTCTTATTACCCAGGCTGGAGTGCAATGGCACGATCTCAGCTCACCACAACCTCCGCCTCCTGGGTTCAGGCAATTCTCCTGCTTCAGCCTCCCGAGTAGCTGGGATTACAGGCACGTGCCACCATGCCCAGCTAATTTTTGTATTTTTAGTAGAGATGGGGTTTCACCATGTTGACCAGGATGGTCTCAATCTCTCAACCTCGTGATCCACCTGCCTCGGCCTCCCAAAGTGCTGGGATTACAGGCGTGAGCCACCGCGCCCGGCTGTCATACAGGTTTTAACCCCTGCATGCATTAGGTATTTGTCCTAATGCCTTCATTCCCCTTGTCCCCTGCCCCCCAACATGCTTCGGTGTGTGTTGTTCCCCTCTCTATGTCCATGTGCTCTCACTGTTCTGCTCCCACTTATAAGTCTGAATGTGTGGTATTTGGTTTTCGGTTCTTGTGTTAGTTTTCTGAGAATCTCCGATAAAAACCATTCTACTCTCTGTCTCTATGAGTTTGACTATCGTAGACACCTCATTCAAGTGGAATCGTACAGTGTTTGTCTTTTTGGGACTAATTCATTTCATTTAGCATAATGTCATCGAAGTTTATCCATATTGCATCATGTGCTATAATTTCCTTCCTCTTTAATCTGAATATTCCATTATATATATAAATGTATATACAAAATATATATAGACATATACATACACACACAAATATATATTATGTATTTTTATATATTATATACACATATATTTTTATATATTATATACATATAGACATACACACACATACACACACACACACACACACACACACACACACACACACAAATACATCTAATTTGTTGTCCATTCATCTCTTGGCTATTATGAAAAATGCTGCTACAAACATAGTTGTACAAATATCTCTTTGAGAACTGCTTTCAGTTCTTTTGGGTATATGCCGAAAATAACAACTGCTGGATCGTATGGTAATTGCATTTTTAAGTTGTTGAATTGTCATACTGTTTATTAGCAATTTTAAAGCTTATACAGATGCTCCTTGACTTCTGATAGACTTATTAAGCTGTAAACCCGACATAAGTAGAAAATATCCTAAAGTGAAAATGGATGGATGGATGGATGAATGGAGTCAGACAGAATCTTGCTACATTGCCCAAGCTGGCCTCAAGCTCCTAGGCTCAAGTTATCTTCCCACCTTGGCGGAAGGTCCTCACCTATAGTGAGGACCACAGGTGTGTGCCACTACGCCCAGCTATTTTTTTTTTTTTTTATTGTTTGTAGAAATGGCATTTCACTGTGTTGCCCAGCCTGGTCTTGAACTCCAGATCCCAAGCAATCTTCTTGTCTTGGCCTCCCAAAGCACTGAGATTATATTGGTGTCCCTAAAGACAAATCTTGAAGTCTCTGGAAGAAGTCAGCTTCAAAGGTGACCTCTTGACTGGATAAAATTTTGAACTGTCAACACTAAGATCCTTCCCAATCCTGAGTAAACCCAGGATATATGTAATGCCAAGTTTAAATTAAACATATCAAATGTAAGGAATACCAATCAAAAAAATGCCTTATTGATATCAACATGAGTTATATCAATCAATATTTACCTTTCAATAAAAGTACTTTCAGACACTCTGCCTACACTTACCTTTGAAATCATGTTCATCCCCATGGCATCCCCTGACCTGGACTGGAAACGGATATAAAGGTTGCGTCCAGCTATACTTGTATGAAGTTTCTGTAGACGTGCAAATCTATAAATAAAAGATGGAAAGACCATATGTTATTCTTTTATTTATTTATTGTTTTTGAGATGGTGTCTCACTCCTTTGCCTAGGCTGGAGTACAGTGGCGTGATCTTGGTTCACTGCAATCTCTGCCTCCCGGGTTCAAGCGATTCTCCTGCCTCCGCTCCTGAGTAGCTGGGATTACAGGTGTGGGCCACCATGCCCGGCTGATTTTTGTATTTTGAGTAGAGACAGGGTTTCACCATGTCGGCCAGGCTGGTCTCGAACTCCTGGCCTCAAGTGATCTGCCCACCTTGGCCTCCCAAAGTGCTGGGATAACAGGCATAAACCACTGTGCCTGGCTTGTATTTTATTCTTTTAAGAAGATGAAAATTATCTCGAAATCTAGTTCAGTCACTTCATTTCACGCATAAGAGAAAAACTAATGGAAATTACTTACTTTAAGTACTATTTCTACTCCGTTTCATTCCTAAATGCTACAAGAGGAGGGCTACAGGCAATTATTTCTTAATAAACTTACAATTCGCATAAAAACAAATGTGTTAGCTTGAACTATATTGCGGTTATCATTTGTGTTGATTATGCTACTTTATAAATTTAACTTTATTTAAAGTAAATCTATTATACTAATACTTCTCTCCTATTTGGAAAATCTTTTTTTCTAAGACAATTCTCTCCTAGGCAAAATAAGAGACTAATCATAATTGCTAGCTCACACTTTTTTTTATTCCTTACTCATTTACCTCTATGGAGCTATTCATTTGAATTGACATTCTTTTTTTCCCCAACCAATCATAAACATTACTCATTTTAAATGAAAGGGCTTTAACGATGATATTCTGTTATGTTCTCTTAAGCAGGTAATATGTTAACAACTATGTTTGGAATCACAGAAAATGACACTGGTTCTAAAATAAACAAGAGATAAAGGTACAAACAAATCCACTCACACACCTGCTAGTGCTGTCAAATGCCTCCTTTATTACTGCGAACCCTTCAGGTGTTTCGAGCCAGGCTTTCACCTCTGCAGAGTCACAAGCACGTGGAAGACGCACAACTGGGCCACGAGTCATCCCATCTGCAAGGACTCGGCTGCTGGCACCTCCGCCAAGCTACATGGTATATGTCAGAGAACCACGTTACCCAAAAACACTTCTACTGCACCCAAAAGGTATCCCTGATTGTCTCCAAAACTCTTCTCATTGCTTTACCTAAGATGTATTTTAAAACTGGCAAATACATAAATGTCAACTTACACCTATTGCTCTGCAGCCTCTATTGGTGCTGGCCACAAGACAACCTTCTGTTGTTGCCATTGGAACCTGAAATTCTTTTCCATCCAAGCAAAGAGGTCCTGCCACTCCAACAGGAATGGGCATATATCCAATAACATTCTCACAACAAGCTCCCATCACCTAAAAGGTAAAGTCAGGCACCAAATGAAAATCTATACAGTGAATGCACAAAAACTCATCTCAGCTCGTCAGTAGTAACTATCTTCCAACTTAGTCCTTTAGTATGTATTCTTTTTAAGCAAAATTTGTGATTTACCTTTAAAAAGTGTTTACAATACTAAAATCTTTGAGTAATGACTATAAAAACAGGAAAAAATACTTTTAATTTCTATGACCTACATCACAAGCAGAATTTAAAAATTACAGTAAATTTTTTTAAATGGAAATGATTTAAAAGGAAAATGTTTTAAAAAACTATGCACATATACAAAACTAATCAAGAAAAGAAAAAGATTAAAAACATACAAAGCAAACCTCTCTTAAGAAAATAACATACCAAGGAATAATTATAATCTCTGTAAGGTAGGTACTGGAGAGAAGAAGGTTCTGAAAGCTTTTTGGAAAGTAACTGTCGGCGAATAGATACACCACGCTCATGAGTTTCCATCAGAGTTTCCAACTTGTAGGCTGGGATATGCTTAGCATTCACTAACTGAATGATCTCAGCATCACTAAGGTATTTTGCACCTTTCTAAAAAAATGGAGAAAAAAATAAAAGGGGGGCTGAGAGAGAGAGGTAACAGAAGACTTGAAGGACTATATTTCATGTTATAAACCATCTAATACAAACAATGCTAAATTACAATAATGTGATTTTTTTCTATTAAATTACTGTAGCTTTTAATTAAAAGATACCTCTGCAAAATAAACAATTCATTTAAGACAAATAATACCAAACAAAAATAATATAAATACCCTATCATTAGACTTCACAATACAAAGACAGACATGCACTAATACACCATAAAAAGAAAAATAAATATGAATTTAGCATGGTTTCAAGTGTGTGTTACATGTAACAGCTATTGTTTAAACTCTAGTAAGCTTTCAATTTTTAATTTTCTGAACAGGCAATATATTCACATGGTTAAAAAACTAAATATTAAAAGACATATAACAAAAAGTCTTCATCCCATCCCTGTCTACCATCTGTCCAGTTCTTTGCCACCTACACATCAATAGGTACCACTGTTTTATTGTGTTATCTGTCCAGAGATTCTTTTATGCGTAATTATAAATATGCATAAATATATACACACACATATAGGTATGAATTCACACAAGTGTTGGGTCAAAGGGTATGACCATTTATAAGCTTATAAATTTTTATGATTTTCACAAATTTATTAATTGGAATAAACATTGTCCAACTGCCTTCTCATCAGCAATGTAAATAAAGACCTTTCTCTGCAACCTCGATAGATTATGTTACTAAACTTTGGGATTACTGTCAATCTGATGAGTGAAAATATCTCAAGTGCAATTTTAATTTGCATTTCTCTTAGGATGAAGTTAGTCACCTTTTCACATTTTTAAGAGCCATATGTACTTTTTTCCTAACAACAGACTGATTATATGATCTGCTCTTCTTAAAAATTAGATAAAAATTTAGTCTCATCAATTTGTAAGCACTCAGAGAGATGAGCCCTTTAGCTTTAAATATAAATTGCCAATATTTTCTCTTGGTTTATTAGCTGTCTCTTCACTCTGCTTGTGGTGGTAATACACATACACATACACACACACACACACACACACACACACACACACACACTCTCATAATCACTACCCTCTACAAAACTGGTACCAGTAATTAATTTTGTGACTAATACCTCTGGGTTTATTCAAGGATTTTCTTTGCAAATGTTAATATTAGCCTAATTTTTCCAAAGAATATTAAGATAAACATTAGCTGGTTTATGTATTATCAAGGCAAATTCATTCACTCTTTTAAAATTTACTGAGCATCTATGACATCCAAAGCCCTCTTAAGACATGGACTCAGACTTCAAAGATATTCATGTAAATGTGATATAAGCAACAAGGTACAACTACCATTAAAAATGCACAGTCTCAGCCGGGCACGGTGGCTCACCCCTGTAATCCCAGCACTTTGGGAGGCTGAGGTGGGCGGATCATGAGGTCAGGAGTTCATGACCAGCCTGGCCAACATAGTAAAACCCTGTCTCTACTAAAAATAAAAAATTAGCCAGGTGTGGTGGCACATGCCTATAGTCTCAGCTACTCAGAAGGCTGAGGCAGGAGAATCAGTTGAACCCAGGAGGCAGAGGTTGTTGAGCCGAGACTTGGCCATTGCACTCCAGCCTGGGTAAGTGACAGAGTGAGACTCCGTCTGAAAAAAAAAAAAAAAGCACAGTCTCTATATAAAGGAGGCATCAGAAAAGAAAGGTTACTTCTGTTTGGAGGAATTGCACTACGTTTCATAGAGATGCTAACATTTGCCCTAAAGGTACGAACACCTGGAGAGGGGGCAAGTCATGACAGGAACAACAGAACCCAGAGTGGAGAACTACGTTTAAAGAATGACTAAATTCAGCTAAAAAGTATATGATTAAGAATGCAGGCCAGGTGCAGTGACTCACTCCTGTAATCCCAAAACTTTGAGAGGCCAAGGCAGTGGACCACTTGAGGCCAGGAGTTTGAGACCAGCCTGGCCAACATAATGAAACCTTGTCTTTACTAAAAAAAATAAAAAATTATCCAGGTGTGGTGGCACATGCCTGAAATCCCAGCTACTTGGGAGGCTGAGGCAGAAAAATCACCTGAACCTGGGAGGCAGAGGTTGCAGTGAGCTGAGATTATGCCACTGCACTCCAGCCTGCTTGACAGAGTTAAGACACTGTCTCAAAAAAAACTGCAGATGAAACATATTCAAGTATATAATATTCTGCTTAACCAAAATAATTTTCATGTTGAGTGCAGATAAATTTAGCAGCTAACTTACCAATAGATTACTTTTATCTTTAGAGTTGGAAATTCCAAACTTCAGATATTCTTATAAAAAAATATAGAACAAATGAGCCGTTAAACCTTGCTCAATACCAAATCCTTTTAAGTAGAAGGGAAAATAAGCCAATGTCTGGGAAGCATGATGACACACACCTGTAATCCCAACCCTTTGTAAGGCCGAGGCAGGAAGATCACCTGAGCTCAGGAGTTTCAGACCACCCTGGTCTATAAATAGGGAGACCCCATATCTACAAAAAATTTAAAAAGTAGCCAGGTGTGATGGCACACACCTGTAGTCCCAACTACTCAGGAGGCTGAGGAGGGAGGATTGCTTGAATCCAGGAAGTCAAGGCTGCAGTGAGCCGTGTTCATGCCACCGCACTCCAGCCAGGGCAAAAAAGCAAGAACCTGCCTCAAAAACAAACAAAGAGCTCACCTACTCTACTGCAGGCCTGCCTTCTGCAAGCCTGAGACCTCATCTGTAAGATAAATTTGCCTATTCCATGGGCTGATCAATAGAAAGCAATCAATATTTATTTATTTAAAAGCTTTCATGTACAAGTCCTGGCTATGTAGTATGTAGTCTAGCTGAGGAGACTAGCACTTGACAGAGCTGAAACACAAGCACTGTAAGAGGAGTTTTGGGTTTCTAAAGAGGGAGAGGATTTAAATAGAAATCAGAATATCAAAAGGAAAGTAAATTCTTTATAGAACTATAAAAACTAAAACAAGTAAGACTAAAACATCAAAATTTCCAAGTGAGATTCATTTTAAAAAAAAAAATCTATAATTAAGATTCTATGCCCACCCTGTAAGTTCTGCTAACTCTGCATATAGCAAAATAGCTGAGTTACTGATACATGTTAACAGGAAAGAGGGAAAGGAAAGGAAAACACACCTTCTCTCTTACTCATATGCACATAAATAAAAAATTAACCTCAGAAAGATACCACATGAGTTCACTTATATATGGAATCTACAATAGTCACACTCATATAAGCAGAGAGTAGAATAGTGGTAGCCAGGGGCTGGGGAAGGAGAAATGGGGAGATGGTAAGGAAATGGTCAAGATGTTGGTACAAAATTTCAGTCATGCATGATGAATAAGCTCTGGAGATCTAATGTACAACAATATGACCACTGTTAACAATACTTTGTATTTGAAATGTGGTAAGAGGGTAGATTTTAAATGTTTCCCAAAAAGCAGAATGAAAGACAGATAAAAGGAAGAAAAGCAAGGGAGGGAGGAAGAAAGAGAGAGAGACAGGAGAAAGGAGAGAAGAAATAAAAAGAAGAAAAAAGAAAAGATCACTGTGTGAGGTGATGTGTATGTACCTTGATGGTGGTGACTGATTCACAATGTATACATACATGAAAACATCAAGTGTATACCTTAAATATATAAAATTTTGGCCAGGCGTGGTGGCTTATGCCTGTAATCCTGGCGCATTGGGAGGCTGATGCAGGTGCATCACTTGAGGTCAGGAGTTCAAGACTAACCTGGCCAACATGGTGAAACACCATCTCTACTAAAAATACAAAAATTAGCCAGACATGGTGGTACATACCTGTAATCCCAGCTACTCATGAGGCTGATACACAAGAATCGCTTGAACCTGGGAGGTGGAGGTTGCAGTGAGCCAAGATGGCACCACTGCACTCCAGCCTGGCAACAGAGTGACACTGTCTCAAAAAATAACAATGATAATAATAAAATAAAATTTTACTTGTCAGGTATTTTTCAACAAAGCTGGTAAAAAATTACATTTTACCAATAAATGTATTAAAATATATTTTTAAAAAAGAATTAACCATATTAAGCAAACATGAATGGAACATGATAATTTGTACTGAAGCACAAGTAGGTTCATATGGTCATGTAGGCAGAAGATCCTTTTCAAATCTCAGAAAGAAAAGTAAGCTTCCTCATGGGTATCAAGCTTACAAAACAAAACAAAAACAAACTTTCTTCTATCTTTGAAACTTGTCTCTGTGTTAAATTCTTTGTAGGCCTCAACATACCTATGAGAATACAGTAGTCACTCGTCTCTATGATAAACAGTAATAAACTAGAAAAAGTTTTGACTCTGGAGTCAGAAAATCTTGGACCCTTCTACCAGCTTTGCCATTTCCTAGATGTACTGCTTTGGGAAATTAAACATCTTGGAGCCTAAATGTTCTCATCTGAAAAACAGATAATTCTACCTACCTCTCAAGGTTGTGAGAAATAAAGAAGGCACTATCTGTTAGTCATGTTACATGGCACCCAAAACTTACTTGTAGTGTTCAGCAGATACTAGATTTTTCTTCCTTGAAAAAGCCCCTTTTTAAAGAAAAATGCCACATTTGAGTTCCGTTACCGTCCTCACCTCTGCATTCCCAAGGATCTGCAGACATTCTTCGTGAGGCCGAGGTTCCCTGGGAAGCTCAATTTCAGGTTCCTGTGTCACCAGTACTGATGAGGTATCGAGTAAGGAGGAGTTACCAACCACAAATGTAGCTCTGTTTGGGGTGTCTGTTTCAGCCACTAAGGGTTTTATGACCTCAACTGTCCAAGAGATCAAAAGAAATCTCACAACATGGCACATAATTTTGAATATGAACTACTTTTTGACAAAGCAGTGAAGGACTGAAAGTGAAGAGAATAACAAGTTACCTTTTCTTTCTCGGTTTATCCCTGTCTCTTCCTCTGCTGAATCACATTTCTGGTTATTTCTGACCAGCGCAGGTTCACGTCTACAACAATTGTCTGGGACTTTCTTTTGTGTCACTATAGGAGATGTGATAGGGTTTTTTAAGGAGAGTGTAGATTCTGTCTCTGCTTGTTCAAAGAAGATGTACTTGACAGCCAGAAGGAGAGCTAAACTTAGGGTAATAACTTGTTCAATATCCATGCTGATCATTCTGAGTAAAAGAAAGCAAATTGAAATATTATTCAGAAATGTAAAGGTCAAAATCTAAACTTATATTAGCATAGAGTGTTATGATTAATATATCACAAAGTAGATTTCGATTAACTTACTTAGAGAGATAAAATTGCCAGAGGGAAACACTTGGTTCAATTCTCTTGGACACATTTTCATCCAGTCCTAAAGAAACCTTAGATGTATCTGCTGTACTGTTTTGAGGAGAAGGATCAGCTATCCAGCGACTATGAGCATGAACAAGAACCAAGCCTAGAGACTGAAATAAAAAATTTTAAATGATATATCCTCTGCATATCAACAGAACCGAAGTTTCTTATCTCTAGCAACTGGACAACCAGACATTATCTCTCATAGCTTCCCCTTACCATGAAAAGAAAGCCCCTAGCTTGCTATGCAGCTAACTAAAGTAGTGACTCCGCTGAAATACTGAAAACATCCCAAAGAACAGGTTTTCAGAGACATAAGGTGGAGGAATTTAAAAAGTCGGTTTAGGCCGAGCGCGGTGGCTCAAGCCTGTAATCCCAGCACTTTGGGAGGCCGAGGCAGGTGGATCACGAGGTCGAGAGATCGAGACCATCTTGGTCAACATAGTGAAACCCCGTCTCTACTAAAAATACAAAAAACTAGCTGGGCATGGTGGCGCGTGCCTGTAATCCCAGCTACTTAGGAAGCTGAGGCAGGAGAATTGCCTGAGCCCAGGAGGCAGAGGTTGCGGTGAGCCGAGATCACGCCATTGCACTCCAGCCTGGGTAACGAGAGCGAAACTCTGTCTCAAAAAAAATAAAATAAAAATAAATAAAAAAATAAAAAATAAAAAGTCGGTTTAGGGGAGAGGGACTAGTAAAGACCAGGAGCCTCAAAGAAATGAATACGTTAAGAAAAAAAGGAAGAAAAAGGTGCAATATCATTGAATGGACCAAAAATCGTAAAGAAAAAGAAATCTTAACAAGAATGAGATTGGAATTGAGAATACTAAAAGGAGAAGAAAACTATGTCATTACCATAATCATCTTGACCCTCTGAGTTACAGGATTTGGCTTATTTTCTTCTTCTTCTAAAACTCGGGCAAAATGGCTGAGCTGCCAAATTGGACGACCCTCGCGGCTTTCCCGAGAAAGCTACAAATTAAGTCAGTGAGACGTTAGAAGGTATTGATTCTGTTTAGGTAAACTGATGTAAGCAGAAATCTTACTTTTCTACTAGTGCCATATGTAAGAACTGGTCTTACCTCTAATACCAAGGACACACAAGCTGGGAAGAAAGTCATGAACACGAAGTAGTTGGCTAGAACTGACATGCAGCCAAAGCAGCACATAATTTCAAGCTGGCGCACCCCTGGTTAGAGAAAAATTAAATATATAACTAGTAAAGTGCACAAATTTTTGATGCAGCATATATTACAAGGATATATTTGTCTTCCTGCAGGTAGACAAATACATGAAAATATTAGTACATTTACTGGAAATAGAATTAGCAACTCAGAGGGGATGCCAATCTTCAGGTAACAGCAGGAATAACCACAGAACTCTAAGTCCTTCAAGGGCAAAGATCTCGCCTTCTCACATGTCTCTAGTATCACAATACCAGGCAGAATGTAGTGTTTAATACACAACTGATAAACATACATGTTTCCAATTCCTTTTTGTCCAACAGTAATGCCTTGTTATGAAATAAGAAGATAGACGACAGGCTACTCTAATGGAACAAAACCTCAGTTACACTATTGATCTAATCCCACTTGTTAGTAGAAAAGCAATTTGCTTATGAACCAAGGATTATTTCTTAGAAGTAGAATATCCTGCCAGTTATGCCAGTCCTGATATAGATCAAAATAGTATTTTTTGTGTACCACCAAACTCTAATTTCAATACAACCTCTATGATGCCTACTGAAGTTCTTATAATTTTGGTTAGTTCACTGATCTGTTTCGAAAATAATATAATACAAAATGGCAACTCAAGATTAAAAATTAACAAACACATTCCACTACAAAATGTATAAAGTATCATCTGATAATCTCAAATAGAAAACAACAAAATTTTAGAGGCTGGAAGACACCTTAAATTGCCACCAAATCCTTCTCCCTCACTTTACAAATAAACTTGAGTATAATATAAAATAAATTTCTGATGTCACCCAAATATAGCAATGCTTTGAAACATAAGTTTAAAATGTCCTATAAAAGCTGCTCACTAGAAAAACTACTATCAAAAACTGAAAATTATATTTTATTTTCTAAATTTTAAGATATCATGACCGACCAGAATAAGCATATATTGTATTTTTTTAATTCCACAATTACTCTCAAATATGGAAATTCAAGAGACTACGAAATCACAATAACAAAAGCATTATAAATCAAACTACATTTTAAATAGTAGCTGAATGTAATCCTTTCAAACTTAAAGCCATTGAAACTATACCTGACCAATGCTTTTACAACCTATCTACTATTTCTCTCTGCGCAATATTCATTCATGTTGCTGGCATACGCTCTCCAGGCATTCTTCCTTACTGTGTTTCAAGTAAGTCTCTCTGTACGCAAAGGAACAGTACCAATCCACATACATCCACGAAGCTAAGACTTTCTTCTTTTTGTACTGGCCTTTTCAAAGGGTTACTTCCAAGTTAATATGTGTTAAATCTGTCCTTTTCTACCCTAACCCAAGTCTCTAACTATACCATTTCTATATGGCTGTAAATGTCTCACTGCCTTCTCCAACCACAGATCTAATCACCTCCTTTGTCTACTTCTCTAACCATATCACCCAACTGCCTTCCACATAAGTTTCCATGAATAATCCCTTGGTTTGATGACCAAACCATTACTTTCTAGCTAATCCTTTCCTCATATGTTCTTTTGCTTGAATAAAACCATACAAGTATATTTTCATCTAATCAACTTTATTCTTGAGTGTAGTGGTGGTTACATGACTACGTCATTGTCAAAACTCATAAAATTGTACTCCCAAAAGTGAATTTTAAGGTAAGTAAATTTTTTAAATCAAAAAATATTTTATTTAGCAAATAAAATATTTGCTAAATAAAATATTTTTTGAAAAGAATAACTAAATAATAATTTACTCTTAGAAACTAAGAAGCAATATTACATTTTTAATATACTATCCACTGAAGAGATCTAAACTAATGACAACCAACTACTTCCTTAAAAGTTAGACAATTTACTTCTGAAAGAATGAGACATTTATTTCATCGAGGGCTCTAAGGTACCAGGAAATACACAGTAGTTAACTAAGTATGGTCTTTATGAGAAAGCCATAAAATATAGTCCTAATGATTAGGAGACCTTCACACAGCATGATACGTTCAATCTGGCAAATTTCCATGCCAGGCCGTAATTTTTATTCTACATAATGAAGTTCTATGTTTGATGTTAATATCTAATTCTCTACTATCCAATTAAGAATGAAGAAACGTGTTGAGGCTAATGCTAGGTACTTGCTGAGATGTACTGCTTACTATTGGATTAAATATCTCCAATCACCTTATTAGATGAATCTTACTCAGATCTGTCCAATTCCTGACTCTTGTCTCCCTACCTGACAATTAAAACAAAGGAACCAAGTCATAAATGAACTCTAAGTAACAGCAGGATCTGGAAGGTGTTTTCCAGACCAATCTTGGAATATAATATTGGTTAAAAATCAAACAAAAGCAAGCAAATGAACAAAAATATCAAAAAGTAGAACACAGAGGATGGCAGGAGTAAAAATTAATCAGTGACCTGCTGCTAAGTTTTCACCAAAGCCAACTGACACAAGGCCAGATATACCCACACGCTAATACGATAAAATTATTCTAAGAGTAATTTAAAAGTCAGAATTTAACAATAAATAATGCAAATCCAAGATGTTCTTTTTCCTCTTTAGTGACATACCTACTTTAAAACATAGAAATTGCTTACAAACCTGACATGGTACCAACTCCAATCACAAGACATTCAACAAGAGCATCAAGGGTAAACGTGGGACCTAAAATTGCCATTCCACGAGCAATATTTTCCCTTACTTCATCCTAAAACAGATCAAACATATCAATGAGGGCAAGGTGCAAAAAACTTTTTAAAATGTTAGAGCATCCTATGGCTTATATTAGTATCAAATAATAATAGTATCAAATTACTATTCAAAGAGTAAAATACACAATATGATAAAACAGGTATTCAAGATAGAAAGTATGATAGTAATATAAAGTTTTTTTTTTCTTGAGACGGAATCTTGCTCTGTTACCCAGGATGGAGTGCAGTGGCACGATCTTGGCTCACTGCAACCTCCACTTCCTGGTTCCATTCTCCTGCCTCAGCCTCCCCAGTAGCTGGGATTATGGGTGCGCACCACTATGCCCAGCTAATTTTTATATTTTTAGTAGAGATGGGGTTTCACCATGTTGGCCAGGCTGGTCTTGAACTCCTAACCTCATGATCTGCCCACCTCAGCCTCCCAAAGTGCTGGGATTACAGGCGTGAGCCACCACACGCAGCCAACTTTTAAAAAAGAACAGATTAAGGTGCCCTCATTCCCTTTCCACTGAATAAGATATTTCTTAGGAATATTCCTTTGAGGTGGTACATTAACTCTGTCATTTAATCCCACAGAATTAAATCCTACAATATTCTATATTTTTGCCTACCATTGACAGAAACTTAGTTGCAAATTTTTTATGAGATCATGTTAGTATTATAAAACCCAACTCATTTCCTTGTCAACATGGTCAAATCATAAACATTGATCAAATAAATAACCAGGGCAGAATTATGTGCTATTATGTGCTATTTTATACTCAAGATACTCTGATACAGTATTGTTAAAAAGGTTAGGTTCTTTAAAGTGACTAGTGAATATTAAGATGAAACTTAAAATAGGAAATAATGCCGGGTTAATTTAAAGAGTTTAAAAATAAATCTGGTCAGGCACGGTGGCTCACACCTGTAATCCCAGCACTTTGGGAGGCCGAGGCAGGCAATCTTGAGCTCAGCGGTTGGAGACCAGCCTGGCCAACATGGCAAAACTCTGTCTTTACTAAAAATACAAAAATGAGTCGGGCATGGTGGTGAGTACTTGTAATCCCAGCTATTCAGGAGGCTGAGGCAGGAGAATTCCTTGAACCCAGGAGGCGAAAGTTGTGGTAGCCGTGATCACGCCACATCACTCCAGCCTGGGAGACAGAGTGAGACTACATCTCACAAAAATTAAATTCAATCAATCTACCCTGGGTTTCTCTTCCATTAGATCCTGTTCTGCTCTCAGATCTGCTTCACTAGGTAAATATTCTTATTTATCCCAAAATTATTATTACCATAATTTCTGAAAACTTTCAAAAAGAAAAGTGGAGCAGTTCCAAATTCCAGTAGCTACATAATTTTAATTGAGTTGTTAGATAAATGAGACTGTTCCTGGGACTTATGAAGATCAGTCTTGGGATTTGAGAATTAAACTTAAAATTTTGGGCAATTCTTAAATCTTGGGCTATGAAGAAACTCTATTAATCCTTCCTACTAATATAAACTGAAAAAAAGAGTACTATTCACATTCCTAGCTTATAAGTAATACTCACCTGTGAGTTGGAACTGAGCGCAAATTTTGCCAATGCGCTTGCTCTGGAAAGGTCAATCAAAAGTAGGAAAAAGGGCAAAGCTTCACTGGAAAAGAACAAAATGATCAGATACATTTAATGGGAAAAAAATGATTTCACTAATCACTAACTGTGGAAGGATAAACTAAACAAACTTTCTGGAGACTAAATTGGCAATAATAGCACTAAAAAGCTCTAAAAACCCGGGTGCAGTGGCTGCCGCCTATAATCCCAGCACTTTGGGAGGCAGAGGTGGGCGGATCACCTGAGGTCGGGAGTTCCAGACCAGCCTGACCAACATGGAGAAACCCCATCTCTACTAAAAATATAAAAAATTAGCTGGGCATGGTGGCACATGCCTGTAATCCCAGCTACTTGGGAGGCTGAGGCAGGAGAATGGCTTGAACCTGGGAGACAAGAGGTTGCAGTGAGCGGAGATCATGCCATTGCACTCCAGCCTGGGCAACAGGAGTGAAACTCTGTCTCAAAAAAAAAGGAAAACCACTGTCTCACTCCTAAGAATGCAGCTTAAGAAAATGATTATGAATATGAACAAAAATTTAGCTACAAAGACATTCAACACAGTATTGTTATTAATGAAAAAATAAACAAACAGTCCAACATTAGACAATAAACTACAAGATGTTTAGATAGAAGAGAATACATATAGCCATTACAAACAATTTAGTTTATCATTAAGTACATGGAGGCCAGGCTCAGTGGATCATGCCTACAATCCCAGCACTTGGGGAGGCCAAGGCAGGTGGATCACTTGAGTTCAAGAGTTCAAGTCCAGCCTGATTAACATGGGGAAACACCAACTCTACTAAAAATACAAAAGTTAGCTGGGCATGGTGGCAGGTGCCTGTAATCCCAGCTTCTTGAGAGGTTGAGGCAGGAGAATTGTTTGAACCCAGGAGGTGAAGGTTGCAGTGAGCTGAGATCATACCATTGCACTCCAGCCTAGATGTCAAGAGCGAAATTGTCTCAAAAAAAAAAAAAAAAAAAAAGTACAAGGAAAGATGTTGATAAACTATTATTATGCATAAATGAATTATAAAACAATATATATAATCTCAGAAATTTTTTAAGTGATTAAAAAAAAGTAGAAAAGGATATATGCCAAAATGTTAATAGTTACTGAAATTAGCCAATAGCAAAATTACACAAAAACATTCCCCTTATTTCCTTAACTTTTGAAAATATATCTTTACAACATGGGGAAGAAGTTTTTAAAATGTATTTTGACAGAGAGTATATTTAGGTTTTAAATACTTACTTCAAGCCTGTCAATTCTTTATCTAAGAAGTGAATGACAACTGTACTGAATACAAAGCTTGAGAAAATCGTGAAGAGGCCAGCAATTCCTAAAATGACAAAAAGTTCAATACTGAAAAAACTTTATCCTTTATTACACAAATAGTAACAGCCTCATGCAATATTCCGAGATACTAGTTTTCTCCAGATTAAGATCTCAAATTTCAGAATGTCTAATTGCGAATAATAAGGAAACTATTAAATGCATGCAGCACGCTTTCAGAAATACACATACTTCCAAATACATCATTTGAACCAACAGGTTTATTTCCACAGCAAATAAAAAATCTGATGACACCACAAGTTAAATATGTAAAACTATTACCCAAAATATATTTTGATCCAAGCTGACGTAAATTCTGGAACTGGAAGTAAATATACAGGATTGCTATGCATCGTGTTATTGTCAGAATTATAATGTCACTGCTCAAAACATCCTAATAGGAGAGACAGAAAAGGAAATTTCAATAGCTTTGACTTTTAAAATAAGCAATCAAGGCCAGGCATGGTGGCTCATGCCTGTAATCCCAGCACTTTGGGAGGCCAAGGCGGGTGGATCACGAAGTCAGAAGTTCAAGACCAGCCTGGCCAAGATAGTGAAACCCTGTCTCTACTAAAAATACAAAAATTAGCTGGGCATGGTGGTAGGCTCCTGTAATCTAAGCTACTCGGTAGGCTGAGGGAGGAGAATTGCTTGAACCTGGCAGCAGAGGTTGCAGTGTGCCAAGATTGTGCCACCGCACTCCAGCCTGGGCAATAGAGTGAGACTCTGTCTAAAAAAAAAAAAAGGCAATCAAAAATAAGAATTTTAATTTTGCATGTGTCATTCATTTATTTATTATCATGAGAACACAAATGTAAGCACAATACAAATCCAATAAAAATATCAAACATACAAATCAAAAATTAAAACCAACTTTTAAACAAATCACTGTGGTGAGCCAATATATCAACATAATCTTTTTTTTTTTTTTTTTTTTTTTTGAGACAGGGTTACATGCTGGTACCCAGGCTGGAGTACAGTGGTGGAACCACAGCTCACTGCAGCCTCGACCTCTCAGGCTCAAGGGATCCTCCTGCCATAGCCTCCCAAGTAGCAGGACTACAGGTGCATGCGACCACACCCAGCTAATTTTTAATTTTTTTTTTAAAGACTGGGTCATACTATGTTGCCCAGGTTGCCCAGGCTGGTCTTGAACTCCTGCTTTGGCCTCCCAAAGTGCTGGGATTACAGGCATAAGTCACTATACCTGGCCCACAATCATTTTTCACTATCAGTCACTTAGACATTATTTCTCAAATAAAGTCAATCACATTCATTTGTGAAGAGAAAGCAAAATAATAGTATTTCTAGTACATTCCATAAAAGTAAACAGAAATTTGAGGTAAGTTCCCAAATACTAAAATAAAGATTTTACCATAACTCTTAAAAATTATGTGGTCTCTAAAAGGACCATATAAGGGCTCTTTAGAAATTGAAAATGTAATTTACTAATGTAGTCAATACCAAATTAACTTCACTAACCTCTTCAAACTTCGGACATTCATAATTCCAACCACAGATCTTATCGTTACCAGTAAACATATTCATGGACATCATGCAGATGGTCAGTGTCACTGTCCCCACTATGACTTCCCAGGGATGGGAGGCCACAAAGAGGCCATGCATTCGAAAAAGTCTTGACAACATTGTGGCTACAGACTTCTTGGATCCTGGAAGGAATATAAAATGTGAACACTTAGTATACAGCTGATTGTATTTTTAGGAAAAGATTTTAAGGAAAAGTGTGCTGTAAATCCTGCTTCGTATGCACAGTGTCCTATACATAAGACTATTGGATAGTGTTCCTTATAATTCTGGAAAATAATTATAAAATTAAGAGAACTCTGTTATTACTTCTTCACTCAAACACTTAAATCCTTTATTACTCACTGGCAACCAACTTTAAAGCAGCCATTTCTTAAAACATATATGAATTCAAGCATTTAAGATCAAACCAGATAAATATCTTGGCCTTATTATTTGAGCCAAGTAGAAGAGCAGTAAAGCAGAAAACATAAGTGAGAAACAGCTATTCCCATTTTCTAATTACCTAGATTTAAAATGCTTGTAAGTACCTTCTTCATCATCTACATTTGATTACACAAAAGGAAACACCAAAGAATCTACTTGTTGCGTGTCCTGCCATAAATCATGTTAGTTTATAAGATCCTCAAGGCAGGGACCTTTTAAACTTTTTCATTCCGTAAAACATATGGCATAATGTCACCAAAAGGATGTTTAATAAACCTTCCTAACATTGCTGTCAACAAAAAAAGATCTTTTCTGACTGAAGTTTCTACATTAATAAAACAGGGCAAGAATTTTGTTATGGTGGCTGCTTTTCTTCTAGCAGAATCATCAACAACAGTGCTAGAAGATCAATGGAAAAGCATTAGCTGTGAAAATCTCCCAACTTTCACAACTAATCAAAAGCTAGAACAGTAGTAGAAGAGGATGACTGGCTGAAGTATCTGCATTTAGCATTCAAAAAATTTCCCAACAGAACATACAGCTGATTTGGATCTAATGACTACCATGACTAAATTTCCTGTTAGCTAAATAATAATTCTGATATTTTGATTTTGAAAAAAATCTTATATTATGATTGGTCTCCAACAAGAAACCTGCAAGTCTTACTTCTTTCACTAAAATTAATGCGTGATAAAGCATATTAGTAAACTATAAAAATCAACCAAAAAGATTTAAAAAGTAAGCTCATTAACTGCCACTCTAGCAAGAATTCAAATGAATCTCACATTTAGTAATAACCAAGAAAGTGTTTGATTTGTTGAAGACAGACTATAAAAACGCAATCAAGTAAGAGAAAGAAAGAATTAAACTATTAATAAAGGGTTAGGAGAAAGACAAAAAAAAAAAAAAAAAAGGCCAGGCACGGTGGCTCAAGCCTGTAATCCCAGCATTTTGGGAGGCCGAGGCGGGTGGATCACGAGGTCGAGAGATTGAGACCATCCTGGTCAACATGGTGAAACCCGGTCTCTACTAAAAATACAAAAAAAATTAGCTGGGCATGGTGGCACATGCCTGTAATCCCAGCTACTCAGGAGGCTGAGGCAGGAGAATTGCCTGAACCCAAGAGGCGGAGGTTGCGGTGAGCCAAGATCGTGCACTCCAGCCTGGGTAACAAGAGCGAAACTCCGTCTCAAAAAAAAAAAAAAAAAAAAGAGTAGCTTTAAGGAACCAAAGCAAATACCAAGTGTCATCTCACTGCATGACTCGACGTTCTCTACATTTCAACCATACCACAACACTAGCTAAACAGTTTTCAAACTGCTGGTCACAACCCTTCACTGGATCAATTAGATCATGACATCAACTTTGTCAATATGAACAAACATTTTTAAATGAAATAAAATAGAAAACAATATTATAAAAAAAAAATAGCTGTTGGGTAAGCCAGGTAGTATGGGTAGGTATTATTTCTTAATACTATGTTTAAAGAAACTACATATATATAAGTGTGTGTCTGGCTTCCAACTTAACATGTAGGTCACAGTTTTAAAAGCCTGGCAGTACCTAATGGAATATAAACCTGCCCGTGTTTACTCATGCTTTTTCAACCTTCCACCCTGAGTCTTAACCATCAGTTTACCCTCCAGCACATTGCACTTATATATAGCATTGCTCAGCGAATACCGGCTTATCTTCAGTTCTTTAACAGTAGCAGGTGTTTTACAGTACATCTTGAAACAGACCTAAAGATAACTTTTTTAAAAGGCACCTAGATATGGATGTAATCTATGCCCTCTAGTTTAAGGCTGAATGCAGACCATTCAGGGAACATATTAATGGTGGAGGAGAAGGAGAAACATTTTCTATTCCAGGTTGAGTATCCCTTATCCAAAATGCTCAGGACCAGAAGTATTTCAGATTTGGGATGTTTTCGAATTCTGTAATATCTGCATTACATTTACTAGCTTAGCATCCCTAATCCAAAATCCAAACTCCAAATGCTCCAGTGAACATTTCCTTTGAGTGTCACATTGGTACTCAAGTTTCGGGTTTTGGAGCATTTTGGATTTCAGATCTTCAGATTAGAGACAGTCAACTTGGAACCATCCTGGAAAATGAACAATAGCAACAAAATACTTTATATTAAATTAGCAGCACTTGGACTTTAAAATATTAGAAATCTTTAATCAAATCTTAGATTTGAACTCTACTTAATTATAACCAAAAGCCTCATTAAAAGGCTTGATTGTCATGACGGTATTCTATCACATAATTTCTTTCTTACATTTAAAACACAACTCTACCAGCTGGTCTAAAGGATCAACTAGCATCAAAGTTCCAGAAAGTGAATTAACTACATGTTTCAAAACTAAATCAAAATTATTTCTAACCCTCCTTCCCTGCAAAAAACACTTCGGCTCAGATTATTCCTCATTATGTCAATCAGATTCATTGTCATTAAAAAATTAATTCATTTGAATTAAAATCTTAGCTGCAACCAGAAGGAACACCACTTTGTGAACAAATTGGCTTAGCATCATAAACCCATAATTATATTAGACAAATTACGTTTTCCCTTAAGATTTCATGGCAGCATTGTTATTCTGGGACTTTTCTTCCTAGGCGTAAAGTCATCTTTGCAATATTCAAGGAAAAAATTACACATGATCCTGTCAGTCACTCCTAAACACAGAGAACCCCACCTATTTGCAATCAAACTGAGTATGAGGGTGTGTCAAAAGTAACCATAATTATAAACAGTCTCATTTCCCACGAACATCCTCCTCATTGTCCTGTGATTATGCAAAGCATTTACATGCCATAGAATCCAATCTTCCACCTTTGTCAGCAGTTGCAAATGACACAAGCAGGCTACAGGATAGCTCCTGCAAATTCAGTTGACAGTATTTATGACACGCTGCAATAAAAATTAATTTTACCTAAAGAAAGTAAAGAGGCAAGGTATGCCTTACTCATTCATACTAAAAAGTATGCAGCATTTTACAAATTCTTTAAAAGAATAGAAAATTCTCTCTCTTTTTTTTTTTTTTTTTTTTTGACACGGACTTTTGCACTGTTGCCCTGGCTGGAGTACAGCGGGGCAATGTCAGCTTACTGCAACCTCTGCCTCCCAGGTTCAAGCGATTCTCCTGCCTCAGCCCGAGTAGCTGGAATTAAAGGCGCCCACCACCACACTCAGCTATTTTTTGTATTTTTAGTAGAGATGGGGTTTCACCATGTGAGCCAGGCTGGTCTCGAACTCCTGACCTCGTGATTTGCCTGCCTCGGCTTCCCAAAGTGCTGGGATTACAGGTGTGAACCCACCACATCCAGCCTAGGATAAATCTTAAATGTTAATCCAGTCTGGATAATTGGATAATTCTTAAATGGATCATTCTTAAATGTTATTCCAGTCTGCTATAGAAACCACCTACCATGGCCAACTGCAGAAAAGGATGCTTTGGCATCCTACTTCCTCCTACTCAGCACACCATCTGCATTACACATTCCAGTATTTGATTATATACTATCTTACAGTGTTCTCAAATTAATTAATGAATACTTTTTGTCTCTTTGAAGGCAAGAACCACATTTTATATGGTAGTCATTTTCAATCCCAACAGGATCTAGCATTCTGCTGCTCAAGCTGATATTCCAGAAAGAAGAAGAAAAAAATCTTGCACTGGCAATCAGGAAACCTGAATTCTATAATCAATTATATTATATTCTATTACATATTGTTTTTAAGTCCCATCTCCTCTCTTCATTCACTTATGAAGCTAGAGCTCCAAAGTTCTCTGACAAAGATAAGCATTAAATAGAACCATATGAAACTGCTATTTTTGTCGGGTTAAAAAAAAAAAAAAGTCGAATTGTAAATACTGGCAATTTCACATGGGTTAACCTAAGTAGACCATAATGTGATTCCATAATGTGACTACAGTCTAGAAACTAAACCATAAAGAAATAAAAAGTATGTGCTTACACGCATACACACTTCATCTTGAAATGTGGACACCTGGCAATTTTCATGTTAATGCTGTAACCTATGTGCAATTTTGTACTGTCCAGCACTTTGCTAGATAATTTCTAAATTGCAAAATGCCTTTCATTGCATGGAGAGGAAAATAAATTCATAAGTAAACCAAAGTACATTCTCTACCTTGCGGGACGCCGAAATTATGCACATTTAGTACAGCCCAGAAGCAAATGCTTTCTATGACTCCGCAGGACCATGTCTAAGAAGGCATTTCCTCAAATCCTGAAATATTTCAAATGACTACTTGAGAATGGAGTACATCCATCTCCTCCTACTGCCGAAATTAAGTTCTGTATCTCCAAAGTACATTTTTCTTAAAAGGACATCAGCACCAAGGAGACTACGCCCCTTATGGGGGGAAAAAAAAAAAAAAGAATACTTTGAGTCCTTGTGCGAATCCCCACGTTGGGCTCCGCGTCCTCTCAAGCCGTTCTCCTGTAAGTAACTGGACACAGCTACACCAATCCACGGTTCTTTCATGACTCTAAGTTAGTCAGCAGCATTTACAGAGATCTTTCCCGTCACGTAAAAGAAAGATGCTGACGAACAGCAGCTCTAGGCGTGAATGCCTGGATCCTGCATTCGCTTCTCCCGCTTGTTCTGCGAGCTGCTGCCCCCGGTAGCCCTAAAGCCCCCTGGTATTTATCGAATCCAGAGGCCTACCTGCCTGACACGCTTTCCGTCCCGATGATCGTGACCGTGCAGCCAGCACTGCCTACTCTGAGCAGGGCTGATGAACGCGGCTACGCCCCGCGGGACCACCGATGATGATCGCAGTCCGGAAGAGGCCAGCCCGCGCCCCCAGATTCCTCCGGCACTAGTGCCGGCTGCCGCTCGGCCCGCAGGGCCTCAAGGACGTTCCTTACAGTCCCTGCAGGTCTGGGCCGCCACATCGACAAGGGGCAACCGCAGCCCCCTCCAGGTCCGCGGGAGCTGCCTGCAGCCACTTCCTAAGGCCGAGCGAAGCTCCAGAACTGCCACCAACTCAGCCCAAACCCCGCTCCCACCCACCTCTGCCCCGCTCCCCGCCACCACGGCCCCCCTTCTCAGCCACCGCCCGCCTCACCTCCAGATCTCACTAGAGGCCACCGAACGCAGGCGCCGGCGCTCCGCCTGTCTCCAGTCAACGGAGACACGGAGAGGCAGGAACCCTCGCTTTACGCACGCTCAGAGCCGAACGAGCCTTTGACCAATAAGAGAGGATCGTTCGATCGTCTAGCCAATCGCCTGGGGGCTTCTCGGCCTGACGGCGTACGTCACGAACTGTCGCCTTAACAACCGCCCACTGCTCTCTGCCGGGCCAAGAACAGGCACCGCACCATCTCTCACCATGGCTTGGCCAACCAATAGCCGTTCGAGTCGCAACACTAGGGCCTGCCTATTGGTCCAAGAGCCTTGGGGGCGCAAGCATGGCAGCTGCCTAGGCGAAGGCGATAGGGGACCTGGCGGGTGGAGTGTCCCACAGCCCCAGGGCCTGACCCGTGGTCGTCCTGGCAGTGAGAGTACAGCGGGAGGCAGTGATAGGAAGCAGAATTGCAGCGTGAGGGAAAACTCGGGGTCAGGTCGATGACTGAAAGCGCGGTTACTAGAGGAGGAGAGCTGGAGGGAAGTGGAGGCGGCCCTGAAAAAAAAGAGGAATTAAAAAAAGGGAAGGTGGCAGCGACGAGCACCTCAAACCTGTAGCTGGCCGGTAGCTGAAACCAACGCTTTCCTGAGATTTACCCATTAGTGTAAAAGGCTCCAGTTACCCGCGTCTCCCTCTCTTGTGTGGGACATCCATTGCATACTAGATTCTCTCTGAAATGTGTCTCTCCTGCATCTTCTCTGCGTTCCCTCCGCTCTCCGCCTGGTGCAGGGCTTTATTATCTCTTAAACTTAAAACACGGCAATAGCCTCTCCTAACTGGTCTTCCCAGTCTTAGAGGGGAAGACTGTCCTGCACAACTCCCACACGCAGTATGTGGCATACTATTTCCTATTATGCCATAGGCCCAAATCAGCGTTTCCCATTGTCTACTGGATTAAAGAACCTGTCACCACTAATATGGCCCCACCCCACATTTCTGACGTATCTCTACTTTCTGGTGCGAAGCTTATGTTTCAGCCAGGAATAACTGGCCCTTCTTCAGTCACACTCAGTACCTTTTTACCTTACTGCTTATATTTGTTTACCCTGCATATGCCTACCCATTTTAACTGTTGAGGTCCTAACTATCCCTTAAGGACTTTTTCGTATACCACCTGCTTTCCTAATTCCCTCAAACACATAATCACTCCCTATCTTGAAAACCCATAAAATTTCCATATTTTTTTGACTTTTCTTACTATAATATGTTGAAATTTATCAAGGACAGGAATTGTATTTCGCTCAATTTTTAAAGCCTATATTTTGTACACAGTACCTGGAAAACACTAAACACTCCTTAGTGTTTTTTTTTTTTTTTTTTTTTTTTGTTGTTGTTGTTGTTTGTTTTTGTTTTTGTTTTTTTTTTTTTTTTTGAGACGGAGTTTCGCTCTTGTTACCCAGGCTGGAGTGCGATGGCACGATTTCGGCTCACCGCAACCTCCGCCTCGTGGGTTCAGGCAATTCTCCTGCCTCAGCCTCCTGAGTAGCTGGGATTACAGGCACGCACCACCATGCCCAGCTAATTTTTTGTATTTTTTTTTAGTAGAGACGGGGTTTCACCATGTTGACCAGGATGGTCTCGATCTCTTGACCTCGTGATCCACCCGCCTCGGCCTCCCAAAGTGCTGGGATTACAGGCTTGAGCCACCGCGCCCGGCCAGCACTCCTTAGTTTTAATAAATAATTATTGATTCTTATAATCCTTATAAAATAAGTATTATTCCCGTTTTACAAAAAAGTAAAAATTAAAGTTTGTCAGGCAACTGGCTGTAGATCACATAGATAATGAGTAAAATTGGAATTTGAACCCAGGTTTAACACTTAGTCGCTAATTCTACTGTTCCCCACTGCTCCAGTTTAAGACCTTCATTCATATCTCTTTCCCAAACGTGCTTTTGAAATCCTCATGAGCAGTGCACTGTGGTTGGCACGGGAGATGTAGTGACCAGTATGGCATACATGGTGCCTGCCTTTATGAATCTTGCACAGTAAAGAAAACAGGTGAACTACCCAAAGACTGCAATGTTCTCTTAGCAGCCTTGTCAAAAGAGAGACAGAGAGAGAGAGAGAGAGAGCGAGAGAGAGAGAGAGACAGAAATGTAAGTACCAAGAGCTTAGAAGCGGTCATATTTTTAATGCCACTAGAAGTCTCAAAGGACAAATATCTCAGAAATTACAGATTGTACACCTGCTCACTAATGTAATTTAAATAAGGACTATAAAGCTGCTACCAAAACAGGCTTTAGCCCAAGACTTAGAAATTTTCATTCCCAAACTGCTGCCTAAGTGAGAACTCCAATAGGAATATGAGTTCAAAAGCAAGCAATAAAGAAACGCCAGTTGTCTAGTTTTATGCTCTTAAAATAAATTCTATATCATTCCCAAAGGTAATTCAAAAGAATCTTTGTAGCATTTAACTAATAATTTGTACTTAGTGATAAATCAAAAACTTTGGTATGAACACAACATAGAATGGGAGGGTCAGGGAGGCACCAAGGAAGTCTATGTGCTACTTCCTCATATGCATTTAACCTTCCAAGCAGAGTTTATAAAAGTAAAAAATTTTTATTTTTATTTTTATTTTTTGAGACAGAGCCCAGGCTGGCATGCAGTGGCATGATCTTGGCTCACTGCAACCTCTGCCTCCTGAGTCCAGTGATTCTCCTGCCTCAGCCTCCTGAGTAGCTGGGATTACAGGGAATTATAACAACAAAAACAACAACCATTATACTAAAACAAATATTTATATTGCTGTTTCTATGTCTTAGCCACTTGTCTAAGTGCTTTTGACATATTAACTCCTTTTATTAAAAGTCCAATGAGGAAAACATTAGTAGAACCTGCATTTTACAAATGATGAAGCTATAGAAACAGAGAAATTAAGTAATTTACCTAAATTCACATAGCTTGGAAGTAGCAGAGCTGGAATATGAACTTTGGAATGTGGCTGCTAAGCACATGCCCTAAACCACTTCACAGTCTTATCTTTTGCATTAGCATAGTATGCACTGTTTTGTGCTAATACACATATGATTGTTTAATTTTCTGATGCTTTATTACAAAAGACTTCTCATAATATCAGTGAAGAGTTGTACTTATTTGTTTCCCTTCACAGGTTCCAACTGTGTTCATATTTGTAGTTTCCATCTTTGGGCAGTTTTCTTTCTCTTTGTCCTGCACAATGTTTTTTTGTTTTGTTTCATAATTTTAAACTTCAGGATAATTTTTTTAGCGTATTGCAAATGATACTTGATCGCACATATAGCTCTTGGCAGATATGATGACTGTTTATCACTGCTGCCAAAGGTCAGGAAATATTTACTGAGGGCCTTACTCTGTGATAGACAAAGGGTTAGGCCCAAGGTAGAAAGTTAGATAGGAAAACGTATACAAACTAACCCTTCCCAAATAACATGGTCAATGGAGTGAGGTATACACAGGGTCCAGTGAGAAAAGTTTGGGTTGTGTTCTGAAAAAGAGGAGAAAATTGTTTGAAGGTTATTCTGGGCACAAAGGCTAATACTGTGAGCATGAGAATGGAGGTGATGCAGATAGAAGAAAATTTAATTGGGCAGAAATCCTAAAGTACTATAGAATACAAGAAATTTAAAAGGTAAGGAAGTCATGAGCAGGTTGGCAGAAGATCTCAAAGTCCTTACTGGTGATATTTTACATTCACTCAAAGTCTCAGCTGCTGCTCCTCAGTAACAAAACTAAACGTTCTGCTTCTTTGTTCCTAAAACTTCCCAAAAGGAAATGTATGGGGGAAGCCTCTCTTGATATTAGGAACTAAAGTCTCTTCAAGAATGGATACGCAGAAAGATTACTGCTGTCCACTGAGCCAGCTTTCACTGTTTAACTGGTCTTGTTTGTTTATTTTCTCCATTCCTCTCTTTAGGCCTTGCCCAAGCTTTGTAGAATAAGTTGGGTAGTAGCAACAAATTGTATTAGAATACATTTTTTTTTCTTTTAAGGAATTAATTTTTCTCTGGGAAACACTTCATAACATAGAAACCCTGTAACTATCGTAATGTGTAAGTGTCCATGTCTGAGATTCTTAGGGATTTTTGACCAAGGTGACTGGTTCACAAAGAAGTCAATGAAAGGTCAGGAAAGAACGAAACAGACTGGGTGCAGTGGCTTAGGCTTGTAATCCCAGCATTTTGGGAGGTGAGGTGGGTCGATCACCTGAGGTCAGTTCAAGATCATCCTGGCCACATGGTGAAACCCCGATTCTACTAAAAATACAAACATTAGCCAGGCATGGTAGTGTGCACTTATAGTCCCAACTACTAGGGAAGCTAAGACAGGAGAATGGCTTGAATCTGGGGGGCAGAGGTTACAGTGAGCCGAGATTGTGCCACCGCACTCCAGCCTGGGCCACAGAGGGAGACAACATCTCAAAAAAAAAAAAAAAAGAAAGAAAGAAAAGCTGGGTGTAGGGGCTCACGCCTGTAATCCTAGCACTTTCGGAGGCCAAGGCAGGTGGATCATAAGGTCAGGAGATCAAGACCAGCCTGGCCAACATGGTGAAACATCTCTCTACTAAAAATACAAAATACAAAAATTAGCAGGGTGTGGTAACACACACCTGTATTCCTAGCTGCTCGGGAGGCTAAGTCAGGAGAATCACTTGAACCCTGGAGGCAGAGGTTGCTGAGATCATACCACTGCACTCCAGCCTGGGCAACAGAGCAAGACTCCATCTCAAAAAAAAAAAAAAAAAAAAAGGATGGAACAAAGAATAACTAATTTTGACCCAATTATCAGCACCACTTCTTCTCCCTCAAGAGCAAACTTTGGGCCAGGCACAATGGCTCATGCCTGTAATCCCAACACTTTGGGAGTCTGATGCAGGAGGATCACTTGAGCCCAGGTGTTTGAGACTAACCTGGGCACCATAGCAAAACCCTTTCTCAGTTAATATTAATAATAATAATAATAGAAGAAGAAAAAAAGAGCAAACTTTGTTCTGGTCCCAGTGGATAAGAGTGGAGTGGACTAAAGTGCAAAGGCTGTGTGCAGCTGAGTTACCAAGTCTCAACCCCCTTCCTCCCATTGCCTTTCATTTTCCCAATCCCAACCTCTCCTTCTAGCTGGCTCAGCCAAGTTCCCAGCTTTTTTTTTTTAGACAGAGTTTCGCTCTTGTTGCCCAGGCTGGAATGCAATGGCACAATCTCAGCTCACTGCAACTTCCACCTCCTAGGTTCAAGCGATTCTCCTGCCTCAGCCTTCTGCGTAGCCGGGCATCCGCCACCACACCCTTTTCTATTTTTTTAGTACAGACGGAGTTTCACCATATTGGCTAGGCCGGTC